AGAAAAAGGTGAGTTGAACTTTTATGGGTCTGACTCATGTGATGTCCTATGATCTCACAGGCTTTTTACATGCAAAGTAGATAACTAATATCTTTGGCTGGAAGAGGAGAAAATCTACCTGAAGCTAGGCATCAATCTCATGCTCCATCTGTTTCTACAAGTTGTTCATCTTAGCTTCTACCTCCATATCCAGAAAAGGAAAAAAGAGCCCGGGTAGGTGAGGGGACTAACACTGAAGATGTGCTGTTTTGTCCCACCTTTGAATAGGTGGGTAACCTTAAAGAAAAAGTCCTAATGATAGAGTCATATAAATACCTCTACTGCTTAACACGTCTATAGGCCATGGGACTTAGGAAAAATTTGAGAGTCACATGAAATTATAGTTACTCAAAATTTTCCTCCTTCAGATAAATACTTCTGCCTTTAATATATGTTAAATATCTCAATGGATACTACTATATCCACAACCCAATGTGGTTTAATGTTCTCATTTTAAAAAGTTATTCGGATACGTTTGTGATACATAGTAAATATATTCACCAGGGGAATGGGTACATATGCCTATTCACTCTGATCATTTTACTTTCCCTTTCCCTCCCCTCCCTCTGTACCTCTACTCCCTACCCACCCATCCCAGATCCTGTTCTCATCTTTGTGTCCTTAGCCTTCTTTTTAAAAGCCTCCTTATAGGTTGCTGAGTCAGTATATAAAGTTTTTCTCCTTCTCCTTTAATAAGTAATTTGAGTGAGTTATGCCCCTAAATACCACAAGACCCCTGCTGTCAGACTAGGTGGAGGCAGCCCTTAAACTGTGTATCACTGAAGCCTGAGGTTCTGGTGAGGTGGAGAACTAGTGTCAGGGTGGTCGGGCTCTCTGCCTCCTTCCACTCCTTAGTGCAGCTTTTGGAATAGTGAACTGGTGTTAAATTGAGAGTCTATTCCAGAGTTTCTCCTACACAGGCACTTTTATGGGCAGGAAGCAGGCACACACTCTGCATGCATTCATTATTGGTTTGACAAGCCTAACACAAAAATCACCACATGAGATAAAATATGTGAAAGCAAAAAGCCGTGGGACAGACTTACCCAAACTGTATTTCTTCAGATTGCTCACAAACCACCTTCAGGGCAGATTATATGAGAAGTTTGATATGTTTATGTCAATTTGCATCTGCTTTCCTATGGAGAACCCTGTATAATTGATCAGGTTTTCCTGAGAACTACCTTCCTAGAGTTCAAATTCCATGGTGGCTGAAACTGTTCTTTACTTTACCTCTCAGTTTCATTTTTTTCAAAGGAAACTTTCTTACAACTCCACAGGTTTTTGACACTTTAAGATGGATTTGAGGGTGGGGGAACCTATGGGCTGAGACTGTGTTTTGGAAACAGGATGGAGGATGGTGATAGGATTGGGTAATGGAAGCTATTTATTTACCACCAGCTGCCTCCAGCTGCGACACCCTGCTAGGCTATGGAATAAAGCACAGTAAATAAACACCCCAAGGAGGAGACATGCTGAAGCACGGCCCACATGGAAATTCATCTCCTCACAAATCCTAGAAAAATATGTACTTAGTGATGAGCACGTCCAAAATAAACCATCCCAAGCTAACGACGTAGAATGATTTCCATGTTTCTGTCCCAGGAGCAGTTCAGAGGAATAAACCAGGATTGCTTGGGTGCTTGTTTTGAGCAGGTAACTGTCCTTCCCTTACCCTTGCAGGGCTAACTCCTAGACGTGCTTCCAGCCTCAGCATGGACTTCCTCAGAGCTTGCATAACCCACTAGCTTCCTGTACCACAGAACTCACCACCCTGTATTGAAATTATCATACTGGTCTCTGTGTCTTTCTCAAGGGTACACGACATAGTAGAGCCATGGGCCGTGTCCTAGTCATCCTCAAATTCTTAGCAAGTAGTGCAGTAACCCAAGGAGGCTCTCCCATCCATGATTGTTGAGCTGAATCCACCCTTTTTAAAGAGCTTAATCATTTGTTGTCCCTTAAAATGAAGAAAAAAAAGAAACAGGAAGAAGAGGAGGAGGGAGATAATAGGAAGGAAGGAAGGAAGGAAGGAAGGAAGAGAGGGAGGGAAGGAGGGAAGAAAGAGGGAAATGCTGAAAGGAACTGTTCATACTAGCACAAGTCTATGGAAAAGAGACATGGAATCTCACTACTGCTGTCTTGCCCCTCCCTGCTCCTTAGAAACAATGATATATTTCTTTGTCTCCCTTATCTATCATTTATTTTTTCTCTTTTCACCTTGGATCCCACAAAGAAAATGCCAGCAACTTGTCAGTCTGCAGCTCAAAAACACTAATCTCATCTCCCTCCTCATTTCACAAATGAAGAACTGAGTCTCAAGGAATCATTACAACCCTCATTTCCACTTTTCCTGCTCATTCTCTCTGCCCACTTAATCTTTTTCTCCATAAAAACCCATTCTTACCCTTTCATCCACGGACTCACCCCTTTGCCAACACTCTTTGCTTGGCCCCACCCCCTCCATAATGAGGACTGTAACGCAGATCTTGAAATTTAACACCTTGTGTTGGCACACACTCATCAGGGATAGAGCTTTCAGAAAAGCTAAAACGTATAGTGAATATGTTTCTAAAACTTTCAATTACACTTGTGGTTTAAATCAGACCTAAATGGAGCTGGCCCTCCCACTCCGTGCTACAACCATCAAGGTCAATTTCTAACAAGCATGAAGTTTCTAATAATGGTAAAGATTAGCAACTGAGTCATCTTTAATACCCACTAAGCACTCTGGACTCTGCTAGATTTTTGCATCCAGGATCTTCTTCCATTACCATAAAAGTTCTGTAAGACACAGAATATAGTCATTTTACCGATGAAAGAGGTGAAGTTCAAACAAGTTAGTTAGCAGGCCCCACATCTTAAGGCCAATAGGTAGATGAGCTAAAATTCAAACCCAGTTCTCTGATTTTAAAGCACACATCTTTTATTTATTCTATAATTAGTACATGATGATTACATTATTGTGGGAGGTAGGTACATGTAAATAACTCATCTGAATTCTTTTTATTCCCTTTCTTCCTCCACCGCCCTCCTTCTCTAGATCCCCACATTTCCTTACTACTCAATAATGAAGACATTTAATCTCTGGTTTGCAAGCTCTCTCTTTCCCATCCTTTACCCCTCAAAGATGTCTCCAGAAAGAGCTAGCTGTTGAGTAGGTTGGGTGCCCCACACTACAGGGGGCTCAGAGTGGGAGTCAGCCGTCAGAAACCAGGAGCTTGCTAAGGAGTAGAATCCAGGAACATGGAGCCACAAGAACTGTTGGTCCAGATCATTCTGCAAACAGAGGCCTCCAGAGTTGGGGAAGCTTTCAGTGGGCTTTCATTCAGTGCATAAGTTCTTGCCCAGTGGCATCTTAAAGCCACCACTGAACACCTGCCCTAGTGCTCCCATCTGGCCGTGAAGAACTGCCCCACAGGCTCTCCAATTGTTATTGAAGCTGTGGGAACTCAGTTACTTCCTGGAAATTGCAGGTTCAGCCATAGCAAAAATCACCGTTTTAGCCAAACCAAATAACTTCCCAAAAACTACTCCCACTAACCCCAAACAGCACTCTCACTAACCCGAAACTCTCCAGACTTCAGAGAAACCCAGCACCACTTTCTTCTTTCTCAGACACTTTCTGCTTCTGAAGTCCAGACAAATGCTTAACTTTTTATACTTTGATTTTGCTTTTTCAAGGCAATAATTTAGAATTAAATTGGCGGTTGAGTCTGAGACCAGGAGGCAGAGTTCAACAATGACTCAGCAAAGAAGCTGATTCTAACAACTTGGTGCACGGAGTACTATGGCTGGTGTCTACTCATTCGTTCCTTCACACCCTCCTCCACCGCAGCCCTGTGGGGCACATTTTCAGATGGAAGTTTAAGTAAGTTAAAGTTCTCACACAACTGAGAAGATGCTGAACAGCAGTCAGACTCATTGTTACCCATTTCATTCATTCACAGCAGTCTCCCAACCTAACAAAGCAGAGAAGTACACAACAGAGGCCAGTTCAAGAAGTAGCAAGATTCCCATCACAAGCATGGAGACGTGAAACATCAGAGGATACAGTATTCAGTGCATTTTAAATAAGAAATGTGGCCTGAGTAATTTAGAAATTCCAGAGAGACAGGAACACCAGGACTAGGTCACTGAAATTATTCTAAAGCATTCAGGCACTAGACAATGGGGAATATTTGAATAGCCTTAAGTAATTAATTCATCACTCTTTCAATAAGTATTTCAGATGATAAGTGAAAATAGTCAACATATAACTATTGTTCAGTCCTGGGGATGAAACAGTAAACAGGTCCGCTATTCCCTGACCTTGGTGAATCAGTAGTCCAACACAGATGCCCAGTCATTTCCGTAAGACATGGGGATGAACAGGATTCTACAGAAGTCTCAGCAGGACCCCTGAGAGCAAGGTTTCAGGAAGTAATGCCTAAGCCAGGCCTTGAGAAAGGTGAGTGTGGGGAAAGAGATGGTAAGGAAGATTGTCACTGGCAATGCCAAGGCACAGGCAAGATCAGAGGTGAAAGGAAGCAAGGCACGTTCCAACAACAGGAAGTTGAAAGAGAGGCTGTGAGCTCAGCTGGAGATGAGGCTCGCAGGGCAGCCAGGGGATGACTGGGGAACAGGGACTCTTGCGAGTATTTGTATGTTGGAGAATCACTGAGAGAAGTAGCAGATGGGCATAATCAACGCAAATGTAAGCTCTCTTTATCTTTACCTTTGAAAACACCAAGATAATTCAATTTGAGAAACTGATGGAATCCCAGGAAGCAAATTTGTTACCATCCCTAATCAGTAAGGGTGCTCTCAGCTGCAAGCAGAGAAACTCAAACTGACTTAAATAGTAAGAAATACGTACCTACATAAGAGGAAGTCCAGGGACAGAAAAAACACAGCACACTCAGCACCTCAGTGATGTAATAAAGCACTGTGACTTTTCCATCACTCCACTCAGCCATCCTCAGCGTTGGCCTCATCCTAAATCTGGTCCTCCCTTGAGATTGTAACACAGGTGCTAATATCGGTTGGGGCCATAAGTTTCTTTGTTATCATGCACTGGAAAAAAGAAAACTTTTCCTGAAGCATGGAATGTAAGATTTTCTTTTGTCTCATTATACTCACAGGTCACTCCTGGACCATGGTGATCTCAAGAACACCATGTGTTTGTTGACTTAGATCAATCAAGGTCTACCTTTGGAACTGGGATGGTATCAGATTTCCTTGTTTCTCGTATTTGTGCAGGATATGGCCACCCAAAGGAAATCATGCTGTGCTAGGAAGAATTTGAAGAATGGATATGGCATCCGCTGTACTCCATCATTACAAACTGGGCACCACTGCCTTTGAAAAAGTGGTGGTAGCGCTGATGCCATATGTACTCTGCTATTAAATAAAGCAGACAAATTTCGGATCGTTTGTCCACTGACTGCACCTTCATCAACACAAAATGTTAGCTCTTGTTCTCTAATCCGGTAAGTTCAATTATATGGAAGTAATTATGTGTGTAAACAGCCTACACACTGGATATAAGCAATCCTGACTAAAATAGAAGTTTATTAAACTAGACTTCATATTCACATAAATTTTTTTAAAAGACACCATCCAGGCCAAGACCTTTTTTTATTTTTTGCTTCATAGAATAATGATGAGGATCAATTTCTCCAGCTTAACATCACCAGCCTTGGCAGCAGCTCATATTTGGAATATAAATGATGTCATCTGGTTGGCCTTTTCCCATCACAAACAGTAAATCTCCAAATCTGGAGAGATCTTTTATTTGGTTACACATATTGTACAGCATCAAGGGGTTAGAACACATGTGCTAGAGATTATTAAAATCATCTGGAGGAGATGGCTTGTTTTTGGAAAGCCCAGAACTTACAACCCTTTCATGCCTGGTGTCTGCATCAACCCTTTTCCTGCTCCTGCCTTTTCAAAGCAAAAATTGTGGCCTACTGGCCATGATCCTGCAGACTAAGGTTTCTGTGGTGTACAATATCTCTTCTCCAGGAAAAGCTCTTTCTAGTAGACTACCAAGAAAGAGGCGCAGGATTGGAAATCAAAAAATCTGGTTTCAGCTTAGCAACATGCCAGATACCTGACTTTGAGTAAGACATTGAAATTCTTTTAGCTTCAACTTCTCATCTATAAAATATGCTAACCAGCCTCACAGGATTGTTTGAGATGAGTAAGTTGGGGCTGGGGATTTAGCTCAGTGGCACAGTGCATGCCTGGCAAGTGCAAGGTCATGAGTTCGATACCCTGTACCAGAAAAAAAACCAAAAAACCAAAAAAAAAAAAAAAAAAAAAAAAGATGAGTAGGTTTTTTTTAAAGCCATTGAGTATTTGCTTATCACTGCATACTTTGCTACAATATTTCAGTTACATTAACATTAAACAACTTGCACAAGAAAGACACTCTACAGAAATTCATTGAACGACATGTAAATAGGTGGTAATACAGTTTGATGGATTCTGGGTCATTAAGTTGTCTTGCATCTCTGACTAGTTTCTTCAGTTATGAGTTGCACACACATTTATCTTCCTTTTAGAGTTGTGAAGAATAGGTAGAATAACACAGGTGAAGCACTGGTGTCTCATACATTGATGCTCTCAAGAAAGAGAAGCTCCTTTTTTTCCAATCCCTCTTTCTTCCAGAGCTTTGCCCTTGTCATCCTGCAGAAGTGGAGAGAACCCTGACATTCTTGCGGTTGAAGCAAGAGAGAGAGAAAAGGGATCAGTGAGCCCAGGTTTTGAACTTAGCTTTCTAACTTCCTGATCAAAAGTTTTGCAGTTTCTTGGGGTCAAATAAACCAACCAAAAGAAGAACCACAAAACAGAAGCCTAACATAATGTGGTCAACTTTTTGATTTGATAAATAGATTTCTAAAAAATAACTGCTGCATACCATTACAATCATTAGAAATAATAGAAAAAGAACAGCAGAGAAGGAAAAACAAGCTTTCGTAGTATAAGACATCTCTTTAAATTGAATAAGTTAACTTTATGAAAAGTTTGTATTCATTTTCTTCCTATTTTCTTACAGACTTGTGAAAATTTGGTGGAGCTGTGCCTTCAGGGTAGGGTGCAGGACTCACTGAGCTGCATGGACTGTGGGCTTGCCTCTTGCGCAAGTGTCATACAGCTCCCTGGTGACCCCATCATGAGGAGAGGCTGTGATGCCTGAACAACAGCTCATTCAGGAAAGCAGTGAGCCAGTTAAGGAAGGAATCCGTGCAATAACTAATTTTGCTGAACTGAGTGACACTGGGACTAAACAAGGATTTGGTTTAGTCCAAACAGTCTAGGTTACTATGTGTGGACAGGCACATAAAAATTGTCACACAGCTTCTTGAGCTACTTCTGTGTCCCTGAGGTTAATCCTCTGACTCTGGCTTGTTCTCTGCTGACTGTAAGTTCTAATGGGTGACTTGCTCCTACCTACAGCAAAATATGAGAGATACTTGAGTGGACTAAATATATCCTAAGTGTTCCTCACCCAGGCATTGCATGCTTCCCCTTAGCCCTGTTTTTGTAACTCCTTCAACTCTCTGATCTCAGGTCAGAAAAGGTCTCTGACTCTTCCATGTCCTGTGTGAATGCTATGTATTTTATTAGCAAGATTCTAAGTCGAGATGATGTGATTTGTAGTTGGCACACATTTTCTATCCGTTTTGGTATTGAACGTATTAAAACTCGGTTGAAATAGATGCTCAAAAGGGCACAACTCAGCTACCAGAAAAGTCAATTTATGTAGGTGGATGCTAAATCCATGATCCTAGAGAAATGAAGTAGTAATAGCATTCGAACAACTACCATAATAATGACTGTCTTGTGTGTTCTGCTCTGCCTCTTACCAAGTGCTCTTTAAGAAATAACAATCATCATCCATTTATTGCTCCGCGTGAGGAAACTGAAACATAGGTTGGAAGAGGCTTACCCAGGAGAGTCGAGTGAGTAAGTGGCATGGTAAGAAAGCAAACCCAAGTCCTTTGACTGCAAGCCCGGTACTTTTCCCACCCTCCGCTCTTCTCTCATCCTTATAAATAGCTGTAAGTCTAAAAGGTTCAAAGGAATTTCCCTTTGGTTCTCAGGCCCATTATAAATGCCACTTGCCCTGGGAGGAAAATAAAGTCCATCCTCTTTGCTGGCTTGTGTGCTAAGTCATTGGCGCCCAGAAATAACCTCCTGGAGACTATGGACCTTGTGTTTACCGCAAAGCAGTGGGTAAATAACTAGTTGGTGTTTTAGTGTTTTGTGGTCACTTAATCTGTTGTGTTCCTTCCCAAGACTCTGAAGGTTTCCTTTTTCAGTTAATTTTTATTTACGTTTCTGAGGTCTATGTTGTTTGGGGTTTGGTTCATTGGATGTTTTTCTTGGAATGTGTTGCCATTGGCTTCAGGATGTTCCTGCTCTGCGATTTCATGGAATTTTCCCTGAGTATGGATTGCTATGTATTTCTTCGGGACAGTGAGCCAAGGCAGTGCTGGTATGTAATCCATTCCTCGGGCCAGAGGACTTCTTGTCACCCATCCATATGGTGCCTGGTTGTATTTGTCCACTGATAATTCCCCTCCCATCTGTTAACGTGCAGCAACGTTGGACGTTAGCCATCTTGTGTGTTGTGCATTTTTTGGCTCTGGATAAGACGAGCCCAGTTGCTTCTGACAGAGATTGTGTCAACTGATTCTGCCAGTTTGTTCCATCATCCCAGGGTTAGAAAAGGAGACGCGTGCCAAATGCCATAGAAAGAGTGGAGAAGTCTCCTAGGGTTAATGCTACAGACAAAGTAAAATTGTGGGACTGAAAATGTCTGGCTTTGTGCACAACTCTGCACCCTAGGAGGAGACAGAGCCAGAAATTCCAGGTGCACCACAGGTACCACTTGCTTCCATGGTCCTTAGCAATCCTGGTTCTCTTTGTCTTCAACAACCCCATAAAAATTATGTGTCACATAAAAATAAGGACTTGTTCCATATCAGAGTGTTTTGTTCTTTGGATATTTTCTTTGTGGATAGGAAAAATTCATAAAGGTCAGGTTGTGTTTGGTCATTAAAATGGTATGCTTCTCCCCAGGCTTTCAGCCTAATTAAGATGCAGAGCATATAATGAGGCCAAAAGTTGCCCTGGATCAATCCTTGCATTGGCTTTCTGTTTATTATACTTCATCTCATTGTTTTTTGTTTATGCACTCTATACCTTGGCTCCTTTCACAAAGATTTTGGGATTGCTTACAAAAGTATGTCAATAAAAATTAAAACATCTCTATATCATTGAAAGAAGCATGGTGAATGGATAATATTAAGATATAAATAAGACTGTTGTTTAGAATTTCATATAAATAACCCTGTAAATTCACTGAAAGCAATTCACACAATGGACTCAAAAATCTTAAAGTATACTTTGGCTCTCTGATGTGTACAGTCTGAGCTGTTGCTTTTAAAATACACATGTTTTGATGTTAATTTGGAGATGGAAGAGGCCAACTCCAATCTTCATACTGATTTCAAGTACACTAGCACACATCTGAAAACCAATCGCTTTTCTAATTGCAAGGAGGTTGAAGAGCTCTAGTACTAGTTCCTTAGTATATACAAGGCATTGTACTTGACATTCAGTAATTCACTGGATTCTTTGTAGTGTTCTGTGAGAAAAGTTATCTCCATTGAACAGATAACATAATCAAAGCTGAATAATTTGCTCAATTTACCTAACTAGTAGGAGCCAGGATCAGTGCAGGTATATTTTACCTCATAGCTGATGTTCTTCTCATTTGTCAAACTGTCTGCCTGAAAGACAGGTAAGAGAATGAGGTACATGACTTCTCCGGTTGGTTAATATTAAAACTCAAGCAAATGTAGCTCATGCAAAGGGTACTTGAAGTTGTAGGTTGACCAGAAAATAACCGTAAGGTAAAAGCAGGTCATGGTGTTTCATGGATAAGGTTAGCAAAAAGAGATATCTGTGGTCTGAGAGTAGGCATTGCCATACAAGTGCCCTCCAGCTTCTCAGATAGAATATGTCCAAATTCTTTCAAATCAAAGAGAAGATAATCAGAGATAGAGACAGAGCGAAACTATAATCTTATTATTGAAGGAGGTAATCCAAGGAGAGAGACAGAAAGAGAAGGAAAAAGGGTTGAGATGGAGACAGAGACAGAGAGAGAGACACACACAGGGAGAATGAATGACACTGGTGTTTTTTGTACTTTTCAGTTAGAGCAAATCCATAACATTAGAAACCCTCACGGTCTGCAGAAATCGTATACTTCTCAGTCTTCCAAGTGATCATTTCTGCAAAGATTTGCTCATTCTCCCACATGACCTTAGAAAACTCTTACCTCCTATGCAAGAATTAAAACTATGCATATTCAAATCATATGACCTTATTAGTATAATTTTTGTATATTTCTCTGTTTTGGATAAGGAATAATGCAAAAAAGTTTCATCTTCCAATTTCTAATCAACTCAATTAAGAAACTTTGAAGTAGGTATTTTTGCCATTCTTATTTTGTGGATGAGAGAAATGAGGCACAAAGGTAGAATGTCACTTACTAGGCCCTAGAGCTCATAAGTGGCAGAGCTGGGACTTGTACCCAAGCAGTACTGTATAAAAATCCTCATCAGTCATGTCTTGATCTTCTCTTCATTACGTTTTCCAGAGCAGGTCCTTTTTGTCTCCTCCCAGCTGGTCTCCTTCTCATAACTTGGTTTACTCTCCTCATAGGCTGTATCACCTCCTTCTGATTGTGGAGATCAGTTTGGAGTAAGCTGAAATCCTCTCTGGGTGCCAGGCTCATGACTTCCCTCCTACAACCCAGGGCTACTCAGGATACCAAGAGCCAGCAGCTACTAACAGCTCCCTTATCACAGGAGGGAGTGAAGGGTTATAAATAACAGTGATAACATTAGTAAAACATTTGCTTTAGGATAAGCTAACCAGAAGCCAGATTCTAATTGAAGATTAGCAATCATGCACACTTTACTCAAGAGTATTTAAGTACTGGGGCTGGGGATTTAGCTCAGCGGCACGGCGCCTGCCTGGCAAGCACAAGGTAGTGAGTTTGATTCCCGGTACTGGAAAAAAAAAAAAAAAAAAAAAAAAAAAAGAGTATTTAAGTACCTCATTGGGTTACCACTGTGGGAAAAGAAAAAAACCGAGGAAAAAATGTAGATTTGAGCAGAGTGAGAAGTGAACTGTGATACAATCCCCAAAAGTCCTTGCTAACCCTGTGGCAAACTATAGAGTTGAGCTAGCCTTTCGTAATTGTACGAAGTTGGGATGAGATGGCCAAGTCAATCACGGGAGGCAGGCCAGCCTTTGAGAGGCGGGGTGACCTTGAACAAGTAAGACTGACCTTTGGACCATCTTTCACATCACTCTCTGCAACTAGGAAATTAAAATTCTTTATTCCCCAAGGAAGAGTTTCTACGACCTGCCACAGCAACATCCAATGTCCCTGTCTTTCAATGCATAATGTATCAATATTCTAAGGACTGCACCTTTATCTTCCAGGCAGAATAACACAGGTTTAACAAGGTAGAGTAATATGACAGAGATCACATAGACGGTAGCCACTGAGATGACTGCAAAGTCTGTTTCTTTACTACATCAAGTGACCTCCTTCTGGCACATTATAAATTGTATGACAGCATGTATGTGGTAATCTTTTGAAGACCAGAAATACACACTCACAGAACTGAGCTCCTTCCAGAACTCTACTCTCTCATCGTACCCCAAACAGCAACTCCCTCTGAGCCCGCACACCCACTTGCTCTCATTTTCCGTATGTTTTCTTGGATGGAGTCACCAATTACACACTGGGAAGATGTCATCTGGAAAAGAAGCCTCAGTCATTGTCAAAGAAAAGTGAGAACTGCTCTCAACTGGGGCTTGATGTGTAACCAACAGCTGAAGCTTTTAGCAGTATCCCTTGAAAATGTGGTCCATTGACCTTAGGGATACCCAAAACACTATCAGGGGATCTAGAAGGTAAAAACTGTTTCCAGTTTTTTCTTCTATAAAGAAGCCATTTTTTTTCCCACTGTCAACATTTGTGTGTGTACTATATCACCTAATGATGCAAAAGCCAGAAAGGATAACATTGCTGATGCCTTAGCCTGACTCAGGGTGGAGGCACCTAACTATATTAGTAGTAGTTATATTCTTAAAACTGTGCACTCACAATTTTAAAATAAAAATAAAAGTAAAAATAAATTTCCCTTAAAAATGTTCTTGATGGAGCACTTATGAATATTATTACTTGAAAGAGCAACTGACAAATTACAGTTATTTGGACTTGGATATATGTCGTACATTTCTTCAAGGAAATGGCTCATGGTATTTGTTGCCAATGATTT